GTTTTCGTGCTCTACTTGTTGATGTTGCCTTGTTCGAGTGCAGCTCGGGGGAGTATTCTTTCATAATCTATCTATAGTACCATTTTATACAGAATCTATCTCCAACTAATTACCAATTGTTATAACTCATCAATGGCCTCACCTCGTAGACCCCAATGCCGACTAAGTTTTGACTTAGGTGTTAGCGTAACAGCAGGAACGCATGGCATGTATCTAACTCTGATTGAGCTTGGTTACCATGGTTGTGCGCTCAATCATCAAGTCACAGAATCAGCTGTATCTACCCATAAACACAAACCTATCGGCAATATTCCTCACATGCTCATTCCAGTCGGGAGTGAAGAGGAGTACCGCGCACTCAAGCAGTTGAGCAGCTTTGGTCTTGGTGGTATAAAGGACGGTAGCTCCTCCTCCTCCTCTTCCTCATTCATCATCCTGGATCGCATTACTGTTAACATGGCCCGGTCAGAGAGCTTATGCCATCTGGAGAGGCTACAGGATTATGATATTGTTGCATTACGACCTGAGAGTGATTCTGTTATATGGACACTACTTGGCGATGAGACACTCCGGAACCAAGTTGATGTCATATCCCTCGACTTGAGCCCGAATGGAGCTTCTGCGCAGGTAATGCTTTGTTTCCAATGGTGATGGCGCACTATTCAATCTTTCAAGGTTACTCTGAAACGTGGTCTGGTCGAGGCGATCCGCAAAGCAGGTTTATTTATAGAGCTAGATTTGGGCGAGTACATGAGAAGCCTTGGTGATCAACGGGCTGAGATACTGGCACGGGGTAGTAGTAGTAGTGACATTCCTTTTATATTCCCTGTTCTGCCTTAGGCGCCTACATTCTACGATGGTCTGGTCATGGTGATGGGGTAATACTTACCTCCGGTGCCCGAAATATAATGGACGTTCGATCTCCTACCGACTTCGACAATTGGGGCCGGGCTTGTCTCGAGGAGGGTTCACATCGATCACGTCGATTCATAACGACATCAGAGGCCGCTGTTAGGCACGGTATATGGCGGAAGAGCGAGTCTGGGATCATTCTCGTTGAATGATACTGGACTATACCCCCAACGTGATTACTTAATGTTCTTCCTCGAATTCCAAGCAATTTTGCATCTAAGTTGTCGAGTTTGGAATCCGCTGTTCAAATGTTTAATACCCGTTGATGTCATTGCTAGTGACCGCAGTGAGGAGGAGGAGGAGGTACTGGTAGTACTGGTAGTATGGTGGAAAGGGGGGAGAGGAAGACGCTGAACTACTCCAATTTTGATGAGGAGCCGATGCGCAAGGCATAGTTCTATCTTTTCTTCGGCACTCCCTCGATCGAAGCGCCTCTGGACTAATCCAAGTTTGGTCAGTGGTCTGCTGATCGACACCGGTGGATCTAACATGCGAGCCAGAAGGGTGATGATTTGCACTTGAGGGATGTGTGTCCTTATGATGACACTACACATAGCGAGTGAGTGTTCACCATACCGTCATCCCCTGCAGTACTCATGCATCATTTGGGCTTGATGGTGCTAGTCTTTCTTATTACCAATTTAGTACCTGTCTTTGTCGTGCATGGCTCGGGTATCTCATCCCCATCAGCAGAAGCAGCGTCGTGGAGGTCGTCGTGGGATCATTCTTATCGCCCTCGGCATAGTCTGCCTCACCCACTTCCAGCGTTTTGCACTCACGCAAGTACCACACAAATCTCAAGAAGTAGTAATGACGAAGGAACATCCCTCCCTACAAGGCACAGGTTGGACGAGCCCCCTACATATCCTATAAATATGTGGGTCCAAAGGTACATTACGAGGTGCAGCATCGTTATCTAATAATCATCCCATATACCCTCTGCATATCAGTCCATCGTTGCTACTAGCACCTCTCATGACTGGTGCTGTGCTTGTTGGTCTATCTTTGAGGAAGAGATTCATCCCGAAGAAGAAGGCCTTTACGATCACGATAGATGGTCCGGCAGGTAGTGGAAAGAGTGTGGTTGCCGAGATGCTCGCTGACAGCCTGAGCGGGTAATTCACGGCTACTATACCGGCGGAAGCGGACTCCCATCGTTAGGTTCACTAAGCTTGATAGTGGAGCTCTCTATCGCAGCATCGCTCTATTCGTGAACGAAGGTGATATCAAGGGTGGTATTGAATCATTGGCTTATGAAGCGTTTCGGGCCTTGTTGGAGCAAGTCATCTTCACTCGTGATAAGAGAGTGTTTGTTGGTACTAGGTGGGGTACGTTTGTTAAGGAGTCCCATCTAGTTTACAGGTAATCGGGATATAACCGATGCCATTCGTACACCCCCGATATCATTACTCACTGCAAAGATAGCCCAGATTCCGCAAGTCAGAGCTGCTGTTGTAGACTCCTTGAGGAGTAGAGCCTATAATAACAAGGAG